GTATGTATCAATTCTTTTATCTGCCTAGACAGCCATGGCACATTAAAAGATCTCGATCTTTTATGTTGGACAGGAGCATGTTTATTCAATATCTCAAGAAACATCTCCTTCCAACGAGATCGTATGTAGTTAATTATCAATTTCTAAAACGATCAGCTTCCAGGGCTTCCTAAGAAGATCAGCAATAAATTGTCGCTGGTCAAATCTTTTCGTGTTTCTAAATTCAAAAAATCTTAACATTTCCCACTGTCTTTGTAACAGGATTTATTTTCCTAATTGCAGATATTAGACTATGATCATCGAATTCGTAGCTTGATGATCAATGAAAGTGCTTGATGTTTTAGTAATACGAGTAGGTTCTTCTATTGTTTGGCGCAATTGATATATCTCGTAAATTGACATGAGAATGAAATAATTAAAAAAGAAAATGTAAAGTAAAAAAAAATTGTGTAAATAGTTATATGGACGTTTACGGCATTAATGACTTATGACTTACTCTTCTATCGATCGATAATAAAGTTATTAAAAAGAATTGACTTGAGAATTCTGGTTGGCTGGTCTGGAATATGTTTTAGCACATCACTGTTTAAATCGCCTAGGATATGCAATTCATTATCGACCTCCTTAATCCTGCTCTCAAATTCAGTAAAGAAGTTGTTTGAACAATCAGGTGATCGATAAACAGACGCGCCAATAAATGGTTTACTATTTGGTTTAAAAATATTCCAGGCCAACACCCTCCAAGTCATTTAAGGCTGTTTTTCACTAGCGACATAAGGGACGGAAGCATAAGCATAAGCATGAGCATAAGCATAAGATCGTTATGTTCTAGTGTAAATGGATGTGACGGAAGCATAAGAAGAACAATAGGAAGTTTCCAGTGCAAGGGACTGAGTACGAGAATTGGATTGGATTGGAAGCACTTTGTGCTTCTGTATGTTAGCGACGGAAGCATAAGAATCTGGTTTTCACTAGCGCCATAAGGACGGAAGCAGAAGCATAAGCATAAGAAAAAGGAAACCTTCCGTTCCTTCTGCTTATGCTTCCGTCGATGTTCTGCTTCTGCTTACGTCTCCGTTTTTTGATTTTCACAGGAACATAAGACGTCTTTCGCTTCTGCTTCTGCTTCCGCTTCTACTTCCGTCGCTAGTGAAAACCAAGCTTTAGAACTATGTCACCTCGAATTTTACAGTTGATCGCACTTCGTAGATAGATACAGACACCTCCCCCTTTTCTGGATCTATCTTTTCTAATCAAATCATAACCGTCATATGGAACTGTCTCTTTTCTTGTGGACACTCGAATGATTCAAGCTTAGCAAGGGCGGATCCAGGGTTTTTTTGAAGGGGGGGGGGGGGTCTCAGGGGTAAATTTTGGGCAAAGGAATCCTAGTCGCATTTTTACCACAGGAAGCCCATTTGACCTCAGGAATGACAGGGGGGTCGCGACCCCCCCGACCCTCCCCCTTGATCCGCCCTTGCTTATATTAGCTTATTTTTACCTAAAATATCTAAAAGCCGAAACTATTGAAAACTGCGTGTGCAAAGGAACTTATACGTCAATTTGGTCGTTTTGTGCAAATCATAACTACCCTTTTAATAGGGCAATTTTTTTTCAACCGATTTTTTACTCCGATTTTATTTTCGGGGCTCGTGTGTGTTTTAAACTTTCGATTTTATCCAATATTTTTACCAAAGAAGCAATAAGAAACACTATTTAGCAGCAAAGAAGGTTATGAAATCTTATTATTATTATTATTTTTTCCTTTCTAAATCTCTTACGGGATTTTCAGGGTAAAAAAAAATTGTGTTTTGACCACTCAGCGACTCTAAAAATAATACGTTTTCATCAAATTAGCTATTAATTATTCTAGCACTCTCCCTCCACTCGCCCCTACCCCTCCCCTCGCCGCTTGCTCCTTCTTACACCCCTTCCTATCGCCCCTCCCCCTCCCCTCCCCTCGCTTCTTCCCCACCCCT